ACATAATAGCTATGCTGTATAGAGAAACTTGGCTAAATGTGTCTTGAAATATATAAATGTACAAAATCGATTATGTGTTATTTGTTTATCACAAACTTTATTGTACAGTTTACTGTAAACATTAAACATATGTGCTTTTGTATTTTCAAGGACATGAAGAGTTTACCTATACTAGCATATTTAATCATTTACTTTTCATAACCTCCTAACCTCCTATCCTCCTATCCTCCTATCCTCCTATNTACACTACACTACACTACACTACACTACACTACACTACACTACACTACACTACACTACACTACACTACACTACACTACACTACACTACACTACACTACACTACACTACACTACACTACACTACACTACACTACACTACACTACACTACACTACACTACACTACACTACACTACACTACACTACACTACACTACACTACAACTTTAAAAACCTGAAAGATAAAGCTACCTAGGAAAACAAAAAGTCTACATCTCAAAACGTACATTTTTACCAAAGGAGGAATTAATTATTTGCCATAAACCTTCTATTTCCTAGGTAAATCTTTGCAACCTAATGGTGTAAATCTTTGATATTTCACACTTACATTATTTGATCTAAGTTTGAAATATCTAAGGTATTATTCAACTTGTAAGGTTATATATTTTTTTATAACTAGAAAAGGTAAAGATTGATTAAAAACCATGAAACGCTAAATTTAAAATTCATGATAAATGTCCAGTTGAACAAAGACATAGGAAAGAGCATTTAAAATTCTTAAAAATACTTTTGTGCATTATTGCATAAATAAAATAAACCGAAGCTTTTTTCGTTTCTTTTGTGACTTTAAGCTTAGTTTGAGCTTTACAGTTTCACGTCAAGCAAAGGTAAATTTCACGTATTTATATATTTTCACGTCAAACTAAAGTAAATTTCACGTATTTATGTTTCACGTCAAACTAAAGTAAATTTAACGTATTTATGTTTTCACGTCAAACTAAAGTAAATTTCACGTATTTATGTTTCACGTCAAACTAAAGTAAATTTAACGTATTTATGTTTTCACGTCAAACTAAAGTAAATTTCACGTATTTATATTTTCACGTCAAGCTAATGTAAAATTCACGTATTTATGTTTTCACGTCAAACTAAAGTAAATTTCAGTTACAGATTGAAAGATTATATTTTTTAAATGTTTTAAACTTTTAATATGTAACCAAATTATTATGAGGTAACAGAGTCCTACCAGTAATGTCGCATCATACATTTACCTTCTCTTTCTGTCTAGTTTAAAGTGGTTTCTTTGACAATTTATATAGTTTAAAAAATTGCACATTACTTGCTTCCATACTCACCCTTAATTGAGCTTTCGGTGTGTACTGCAGTGATTTGCAGTACTCTAACCGAAGAAAAAGTGAGTTTTAGTGTGGAGAGTGTACTATTTTCCACTAAACATGAACATTTAATGACGACCTAATGCAATGTGGAATTACGTAATTCAAACAACTGGTAAAGAAACATTATAAATACTCTTTATTAATTGTTTCAACTAGATTAACAAGTAAAATAGATTGTATGATGGAAATTGGAGAATATGTATTATTTATACATTTAGTACAACTGTATATTTTGTCACTTTAGTGACAAAATATTTAATAATGACGCTACTTGGTGATAGACTGAAGATTTCAGTAAAAATTATTGCAGTTTTGTATGTTCATTCTTTTCACTTTTTATACTTTATGATTTAAGGTTTCTACACTAAAAGAGAACACAAAACGCCATGCATAATTTTTTCAAAGTATCATTGCCACCTATTTTACTTATTCGAGTTTTTTGAATTAAGCCCAGCTCGAATATTATTTGTATATTTAAAATGATCAAATCGTAATGTTTATTGAGACACCCTGTACAGTGTACATGAAGTTTGATTAAGACGAATGTATAGTTAACAATATATACGAGTATTTATATACTAAACTAACCCCACCTTGGCTTAAACTAAACTAAACTATTAATCTTACTCTAGAGTCTTCAACCATTCTTCATCATTCAGAGTTAATATATATCTGTAGCTCACTTAAAGGGATTCATTTCAAAATTAATTTAGGTGCGAAATATCGTATTAATGATGCAGCTCTAAATTATTTAAGAGTTAAATATAGCTGATAAGTAATAATCTATATAAATTCTGCTATTCTGTTTTGATGTTTGTCTGTTTGTTTGTTTGTTTGTAACTGATCGGCTCACGTTTTTGTGGTAACTCACATGAAGGGCTATTGCCGGTCAGAATTAAAAAAGATTGCTTCTAAATGATCTTTTTTTCATTTACTATCACTTTTTTCGAAGGAATTGAGTCTTTGTCACAAACTCGAATTTCTAAGCCCTATATCTGTGTAAAGGATGAAAATACTGGTCCTATGAATGGTGTATTGTGAACCGATTTATTAAAATAAATATTCAAAATATTCCAAACAAAGTTTAAATAAACAATCAGGGTTTCTGCTAGCTGCTTACACCCGCCTATAGTACAGGGTTTCTGCTAGCTGCTTACACCCGCCTATAGTACAGGGTTTCAAGTGACCCTGCAAGCAAAGATAATAATGCTGCCCGATAATTCGCGGAACCGTTGAAACCTTAATCTGATCAAAAATGTGGAAGATAACTTCGATTTTCTTAATCTAAAAGTGTTTTTTCTGTGAATTCTCTCTTGTTTCTACCAATTAAGAAATGCCCAAGTCACTTTTGCATGAGAAGTCACAATTGAAAATAAACCGTTTAAATTAATGAAAACATGCAAGTCATAATTTTCTTATTCATTCTTGATCAGACAAAGCTTTTAAGGGTACCGTAGTGAATAGGGAATTGCAAGAAGGGTCACTTGAAATTACGTTTATCTAGTTCCTTTAATGACAATCTAAAACTTTTGAATTAACCCGATCTGATGAATAATCTCCGGCCCTCATACAAATTATATAGAGTGAATAAAATGAATTTGAAAAGAAATTAACAAGAGCACAGCTGCAGGGAACCACTATTGTAAGATAGAATTAATTCTTTACAGTCGTCTCTGAATTCTCATCCGTTGTAGGTAATCCTGTATTTATCTATATATTACCATGCAAATTGCAATCACATTGTGATGAATGGTGGATTGTGGTAACAACAATTTGGTAACATATATGGTAACTAACTATCTAAATTAGACTAAAGGAAATATGCTTGAATTATTAAAGATTTAAAAATGTATGTACATGTTTTAAGTAACAAATAAATTCAAAAATTATTGAATATAATTTAAACTGAGTCAGATTGTTTTTTTAAAATTTTGGTATGAATGTTATTTTTAAAGAATTAGGTGGGATGAAGTTTAATGGAATTAAAATGTATTAAGACTCGGTAGAATGTAGTTTAAATGGAGTTAGAATGTATTTAGATGTAGATTGAATGGAGTTTGAATGTATTGAGATGTAGATTGGATAGAGTTTGAATGTATTTATATTTAGATTGAATGAAGCTTGAATGTATTGAGATGTAGAAAGGATGTAGTTTGAATGTATTGAGATTTAGGAAGAGTGTAGCTTGAATGGAGTTATAATGTAATGAGATATATGAAGAATGTAGGTTTGATGGAGTTAGAATGTATTGAGATGTAGATTGAATGGAGCTTGAATGTATTAAGATGTAGATTGGATGGAGTTTGAATGTATTTAGATGTAGATTGAATGGAGTTTGAATGTATTGAGATGTAGATTGGATGGAGTTTGAATGTATTTAGATGTAGATTGGATGAAGCTTGAATGTATTGAGATGTAGATTGGATGGAGTTTAAATGTATTTATATTTAGATTGAATGAAGCTTGAATGAATTGAGATGTAGAAAGGATGTAGTTTGAATGTATTGAGATTTAGGAAGAGTGTAGTTTGAATGGAGTTATAATGTAATGAGATATATGAAGAATGTAGGTTTGATGGAGTTAGAATGTATTGAGATGTAGATTGAATGGAACTTGAATTTATTAAGATGTAGATTGGATGGAGTTTGAATGTATTTAGATGTAGATTGGATGAAGCTTGAATGTATTGAGATGTAGATTGGATGGAGTTTGAATGTATTTATATTTAGATTGAATAAAGCTTGAACGTATAGAGATGTAGAAAGGGTGTAGTTTGAATGTATTGAGATGTAGGAAGAGTGTAGTTTGAATGGAGTTATAATGTAATGAGGTTTATGAAGAATGTAGGTTTGATGGAGTTAGAATGTATTGTGATGTAGATTGAATGGAACTTGAATTTATTAAGATGTAGATTGGATGGAGTTTGAATGTATTTAGATGTAGATTGGATGAAGCTTGAATGTATTGAGATGTAGATTGGATGGAGTTTGAATGTATTTATATTTAGATTGAATGAAGCTTGAACGTATAGAGATGTAGATTGGATGGAGTTTGAATGTATTTAGATGTAGATTGGATGAAGCTTGAATGTATTGAGATGTAGATTGGATGGAGTTTGAATGTATTTATATTTAGATTGAATGAAGCTTGAACGTATAGAGATGTAGAAAGGATGTAGTTTGAATGTATTGAGATGTAGGAAGAGTGTAGTTTGAATGGAGTTATAATGTAATGAGATATATGAAGAATGTAGGTTTAATGGAGTTTAAATGTACTCAGATATAAATTGAATGGAATTTGAATGTATTGAGATGTAAGATGAATGAATATTAAGAGGAGATCAAGCATTGATCTCAATATCTACCATTCTAAAGTTTTCAGCTCTATTTGATTAATAATTTAAGATAAATTGCTCAAACTTCTTGGCTTGTTTTCTAACTTCCAATTGAGATAATACAAAACAGAAAGGAAATCATGATCATGGACTCCTCCTAGAACTACGGCACGTTTGTCAAGATGAAGGTCGAGATTATTACAAAAAAAAATTGCCATTTTTGTGTGACATTGAATAGAACTTTAAATCCATTTTGTATAAGCAAATAACGTATAATTGCAAATTTATTTTACAAAAAAATAAATTATCAGTTATTCCTAATTCATGCCACCTACATTTAATCATATGATGCTGGTGTTCTTATTTTCCTTTCTTTTCCTTGCTTCCGATTTTTCCTTTCTTTCCTTTCTTTCCCTTCTTTCCTTTCTTTTCTTTGCTTCCTTTCTTTCCTTCTTTGCTTCCAGATTCCTCACTGCTATCAACTGTTGTTGTAGTTGTTACAGTAGTAGTGGTTGTTGGGGCAGCAGTGGTTGTAGTTGTTGTGGTAGAAGTAGTTGTAGTAGTGGAAGTTGTTGTGGTAGTGGTAGTAGTAGTAGTTGTGGTAGTGGTAGTAGTCGTGGTAGTAGTAGTAGTAGTAGTTGTGGTAGGAGGTGCAGTACATTTCAAGTCTCCTGTACCATCTGGTGTACATGATAAATCTGTACAGCAGACTCCAACATCATAAGCACATGATACTCCCTCTGCTAGACAAATATCAAACTGACAATAGCTGCTGCCTTCAATACCAGCTGTAATCACTGGCCTAAAGTAAATATATTGAAATCAAATATATATTATAAAAAGAAGTTGTTTGTTTGGATTTCCGATCATAACTCATTAACCCATGGACCAATTTGCCTCAAAATTTCAATGACTAAGACTAAGGAAAATGCTTAGCATGGTTATGAGATTCTAAATTGAGTGAGTCCACTTTTATAGGGAAAATAGCTTAATCATAATTTACAACCAAGCGCCGGTTAACAATGAGTACCCTGGGCATCGCTGGGTTCTCAAGCTAGTTGATAATAAATTATTAAGATATGTAAACTGGTGGAACTGCTTTATATATCCAGCTAACGAATTTTTATAAATAATAAGTTCTGAATCAAAAAATATCTTTATATTTTGATGAAATTATAATGTATACTTGCAACTGGTTCCAGTTGGACAAGGAGTACAAGTGCTCAACCCAGAAAACTAAAAATATTCATTTTTTATTTTGGAATTTTTATTAAATGTTGAAGAAAATTACCTTGTTAAAACAAAGATCCCCTGCACCAGTACATGCTGCTTGGGCAGAAATACTGGTAGCTGTGGCTAGGACTCCTGCAGTACACTTTATTCTTTAAAAATGTAAACAAAGTCTGAATCTGGAAGTAAAGAAGGAAAGAAAGGAAGCAAAGAAAAGAAAGGAAAGAAGGGAAAGAAGGGAAGCAAAGAAAAGAAGGGAAAATAAGAACATCCTGATCCCTAAGATGATCAAACATGGATTAGTAAGAAAAAAATATTATTATATTGAAAGTAATGATTTTGTAAAATTCAATTTGAATAAATAAATATGCATTTATCATACATTTGTGAGTTAAAAAATTTCTCCATTTATGAATAAAGAATACTTATTAACTTGAAATAATATTATCAAAGCTAGCTGTAAATGGTTTTGAATCTAAGAAGTGCTGCATTTCTAAGCTCTGAATCTTTAAGTTTTGAATTATTATAATTATTAAAATATAATTATCTGAAGTAAAGACTAAATGTTTACTGTACTGCATTAGTTCCAAATCTGCTGTTTCCGTTCAGAGTTCACTCAACATACCTGTATCTTTATGAACATTGAACAGAGTTTCCTAAACAATTTATAAAAAGCAAGGATCTACTTGAAGAATCTCTTGCCAGAAAGAAGGAAAATGCAAACATAGGAAGTAAAATCCGGAGGTGTACCATGCACTATATACTCTGCCGACTGCAAGGAAAAGATTGCTGTAGACAAGGCCGTCTTCTGAAGCACTGTGTCCAAGATGAACTTACAAGAATCAAGAACTCTTTTGTTGAAAATATCCACTACTAGCCTAACCTTTCTTATCCCATTTGTCATAATTAAGGCGGAATTCTGACAACTAATATCCTCAGAATTTTCAAACCCCGTTTAGTCAAATGACATGTTTTCTCCAACCTGTAAGAATATTGAACTGCAGATCTGCTGAAAACAACACACACGTCAGAATAAAAATTCACAGCTCTTTTTAAAATTTTGTAAAAACTTTTAATTTAAAAATAAATTGTAAAAAAAGATATAGGAAGGATGTAGTTTGAATGTGTTAATATTTTTTTGGATGTAGTTTAGATGGAGTTATAATGTATTGAGATAAAGGAAGGATGTAGTTTGAATGGTATTTTTATTGACAAAGCAAACTTTTTTGTATAATTTTGTAAAAAGTATATAATTTATCGTGTTTACAAAACTGTTTTTGTCAAAAACAATTTAACTGAATGATAAAATCAAAAAACATTTGACTTTAAAAAATCAAATCCGAATGCCATCCAAAATTGTAAAATTGAACCATTCTGGTATATATCCAATAATTATTTTAAAATTTGAATTTTAAAACTTTTAAATTTTTTTAAATTTCCCCCTAGAATTCTTTGGTATTTTCTTAATTTGTCTAATCTTTTCCTATCTTCCTTCCTTTCCATCTTTGTCCCCCTATGACCTATACCCCGTTTATCTATGAGAAATGAATACTTCCCATCCAATTATTCTAAAACATGTATCTATACAATACAGTTACAGGGTGTATCATAAAATGTATAACATTAGATTTCAAATTAATTTGTTATCTGCGGCGGAGTAAAGCGTGGCTGCTAAAAACATCCAGGGAAAATTAAAATCGCATTGTTTCCGGTTCCCCCTGTTTTATGCACTCGCAATGTTGCTAGCGAGGAGTGATCAATCTGCACTCAACTGATTTACAAATAATGGGTTCAATTTTCAGAAAGCGTGTACTTACTCCAGAACTCTTTATGCACAACAATTGTGTATAGGATTTAAGACGACAAAACTACCTTCTTAGGTGTTTTATAGTTTTCATACGGTTAAATATGATTTTTAGGGAGTGATCAGCAATGTTATAAAAATTATATTACTCTAAAGATTTATGCACAAACAAAGATATAAATACATATGGTGTAGTTTAAATTTGTTAAAATAAATCTTTAAATATAAAGTTTCACAAAAGAAAAAAGAAAAATATGCAAAATTATGCACAAATAGGCGACACTAATCATTACTCATTACATAACATATTTATCATTTCAGTTATTACGTAACATCAAAATATTTCATTTGTTTCTTAACTAACATTTTACCAAGATCAGAAAGATTTACAGAACAATCATTTGCAATGAAAAATAAATTTCTGCAAAGAACTGTGTTAAGGTCACTTTTGCATAAATTAGAAAGAAATCCAATGCAAAGCTTAGAACTTGCTTCAATAGTCTCATAAAAAGACACACATCTACTAGCTGACGTAGTTTTTACATGTAAACATTGTGAAATACTTTCAATCAAGTACCTATGCGTATCTCTAGGTACATTAAAAAGAATTCTAATAGCAGTATTCCATGCTGTATACAATTTTGAAACACACATGGGAACTCAAGTCCAAAAATACTAGATCCAAAACAAATACAAAAATATAGTAATAGTATTTGAATTGAGAATGCATGCGGTAATGTCGAGAAATTTTTTTAGGATATATTTGAGACATATTAAACTTTTTAATGATGTATAATTACTGATTTTGAGCGCAAAGTCGACTTTTAAAATCATCCATTTGGGTGTTTACGTTTTGAGAATCGATTTTTTAAAAATTATTAAATAACGACAACGACAACGACTAGTAATATCCATATTATCAGGGTAATAGAAGGAATTAAGTCCTAAATATAATACATAAATATAAAGAAGAAAAGGAGAAGACCAGAAAAAGGAATTGAGGCCTTACAACAAACTATGCTTTTATATATCTTTACACCCTAATGTAGCAGACCTTAATTATTTCAAACTATGAATTATGTTAGATCACAAAATCTGACTTTGAAATATCAAATTCATAGTTTATACTTTCATTCATCCTTAGTTCAGCTTTCATAGTTTATACTTTCATTCATCCACCGTACATAGATTTTACATTCACCCTTTCATCCTTTACCCTTTCTTTATACACCTTATTTATACCTACTTTTATTCATGTCCATATATTTGTTTTAACACTTATGCTTATTTATACTTTAATAAAAACGACTATTTTACATTTTACCATTTAATAAAAAGTTCTATATAAAATTAAGTTTTCCATCAAATCATTTTAAAACTGTATTTTCAAGCAGCTTCTCTCTAGACCATATTAAAGACTCTGACCATATACATAAATCATACCGGGGGTAGGTACCATATCAACCCACCCCGTAGTCCCGTAGAACTAACTATCCACTTCCTTTTAAAGAAATTATTGATCCTCAAAAAAAGATAGGAATGCGTGATATACGCACAAAAGGGGTTCGTTTAGACTAGAGAATAGTGGGTCTTTATTTAAGCAAAGTAAAATCAGAAACTATATTTGTTCAAGAAAATTAAACCTAGGATATATCTTCAATCAAGAAAATATACATCAGTAAATATCTTTTTCCAAGAAACATATGAACATAACATATCTGCATTTTAGGAAAATATTATTAAGAGAAGTGTTCCAAAAATTATATAAAAATTCTGATTAAAGCTTTGATTGTTATATGAGTTAATAGGCTGAAAGGTAAATACTGTGTTACCCACAAAGAATGACAGTTCAGAGACGACTGTAAGTAATTTAATAAGTTCTTTGGCTTCTTCGCCTAATTATTTAGCACACCTATAAAATACACTTTTTAAGACAACAGACAAAATCTTACCTTCATGTCGTCTCAATTAAATACTTTTAGGTCGTCGTTGAAGTATCATCCTTTATGGGTAACTCTGCATAATAGTTAACATATTGTATACATTACACACGTTATATGGAAGACTAATTATATCAGCACTACAATACATCAAACCAATAATGGTTTACATACAATATACATCGAAGAGTGTTTTAAAGAATAGAGTCCGGTAATACAATTTTTTTTTTGGGGGGGGGAGTGGGTTTTAATTTTGAATTAAAACAAATTAAATTGTCGAACGTTTTTTGTCAAACAAAGGTTTTTAAAAAGTAGGGACTGCATTTGGATTTAACAGTTAAGGTCGTGCTTCAAACTTTGATCCAAAATTATCTAGTAATCATAAATTTTTGGCTTTTATTCTCTGATTCTTTTTTGTCGGCGGATGTGTTTGAAATGAAAATTTATTATTATTTAAACTTAAAGATTTTAAACTTACAAACCAAAATCCGATTGAACTCACATTGAAGAAACCAAATACATCTCGAGTTCCTGCAGTTTGTCTGGGGGGTGACTGATATCTTTATATATTTGAATACTCCGATAGTTACCGAGATACCTGCATATTTGAATACTCCAAGAGTTACAGGTATCTCTGCATATTTTAATACTCCGAGAGTTACTGGGATCTCTGTATATTTTAATACTCCGAGAGTTACTGGGATATATGTATATTTGAATACTCTGAGAGCTACTGGGATCTCGACATCGCTAACAAGATCACGACAGTGGTAGTGGCGTTGATAGTTCACGGGATTGTAGTCGTGTGGATCGTGTCCTGCTTGATATTCGTAGCGAATGGATTGTACCTGGACTGATACAGTTCGGGACAAAGTTCTAAGAGTACAGCATTTACTACAAAAATTGATAGCAATATAAACCTTAAAACATTTAAACATTTATTTTTCACAAATCAGAAAATTAATTCAGTAATTTCATCAATAATGAGATCATAAAGGTAACTTCAGGTCATTTTTCAGCTTAAGCACATCTCCCCTCCCCTCCTCTCAAAATCTATAATTCATTTCACAAAACCAATCCCATCCTTTTAGCCCCCTAATCTATACTTACTTTCCTTCTCTAGACACCTTTCTAAAGATTTTCCTCCATATTACCTCTGTATTCCTCTTCCTATTCCCCCTTTATTCCCATTAACATTCCTCCTTTATTCCTCTTTCTTTCACCCCTTTATTACCCTTCCCATTCCCCTTTATTTCTATTCCCATTCCCCCTTTATTCTCCTTTCCATTACCTCTTTATTCCTCTTCCCATTCCCCCTTTATTCTCCTTTCCATTATCTCTTTATTCCTCTTCCCATTCCCCCTTTATTCCCATTAACATTCCTCTTTTAATCCTCTTTCTTTCACCCCTTTATTACCCTTCCCATTCCCCTTTATTTCTATTCCCATTCCCCCTTTATTCCCATTTACATTCCTCCTTTATTCCTCTTTCTTTTCCCCCTTTATTTCCCTTCCCCTTCCCATTCCTTCTTTATTCCTCTTCAAATGCCCATTCCCTTTTTTTTCCTGCCTATTTCCCTTTAATTCTCCTTTCCAGTCCCTCTTTTTTGAAAAGGGGAGTAATGGAGGGGACAGGAAGAGGAGGGAGTGAAATGGAAGGTGAGGGAGTGGAAGGTTTAAAAAGGTAAAGAATGGGGACTGGGGAGTGAAGAGGGGGGAAGGGGGAAGGGTGAGA